GATTCCCAAACCCCAAAAAATTTAAAAGGGGGTTTGAAGGTTGGGAATTCCCCAAACCACCCCAAATAAAAATAACAAATGGGAATGGGGAAAAATTTTAAACATTCAAAAACCCAAAAGGGGTTTCAAAAGGGGGGGGGGGTTATAATTTTCCCCAATTTCCAAACCCCCCCAATTTTTAAAATTGGGAAACGTAAAACAAATTAAAAAAACAAACCCCAATTTAACAAAAGGGGTTTAAAATTTCAAGAAAACCCATATCAATTCCACCAACTGGATTATCAGAAAATGGGAGCTGCTCAATCCAGATTCACAATGTTACACCATACCCCAAACATGGAGTTATCAAATTTGAGTTCATCACGATTAGACCACTGAATCATCAATATCCACAAAACCACCTTACCCCAAACGAGTTATCAGAATGTATGGGAAGGTCGCTCAATCCAAGATTCCAACCAACTGATTACACATTACCCCACAACTATCAGAAGATGGAAGGGGCTATCAATTTCCCAAGATTACCAACCAAACATTAAAATTACCAAATGGAGTTCTCAAATAGTCCCTCAATACAATTACACCCCAACATGGATTCAGAATGGTATAGAAGGTCTGCTCATCCAAGTTCACAACGATTACACATTATCCAACGGATTACCCCAAAAGGTTTCAATCCAGATTTGGGAAGTCTGCTTCACAATTCCCCAACATACATTACCCAAATGAGTTTCAATGGTATGGGTGCTCATCCAATCCCCAAGATTTCCCAAACCCAAACGGATTATCCAAGTATTGAAGTTCATCAAATGGAAGGAACGGCTGTACCCATAAACAACAAGGTTATCAATGAAACCACTTATCAATTTCAACGGTATGCTCACCCAAGATTACCACTGATAAGCAATCCTCAAATAGTTCCAACAAAGATTAGGAGGCTGCTCAAGACAAGATTCAACGAATGATTACAGATTCCCCAACCAATTTTACATAAGTATGGAGGTTCTCCAATCCAAGCAACAACCTTAAGCATTTACCCCAAACTGGAGTTACAAGAATGGTAGGGAAGGTCTGCCAACCAATTCCAACCACGATTACAAGCATATACCCAAACATGGGGTTTTCAGAATGTAGGGAAGGCTGCTATCCAAGATTACCAAACCACTGATTACAGTTACCCCAAACGGGGTTATCAGAATATGGGAGGCTCCCAATCCAAGATCAACCAACTATTACAGCATTACCCCAAACATGGTTATTTAGAATGGTTATGGGTCCCTCCAAGATTACCAACTGATTACAGCCAACTACCAAATTATCCCAAAATGGATTAAGTTTCCAAAGAAGTTCTTCAATCCAAATTCCAACCAAACTTAAGCATTACCCCAAAATGGAGTTACAGAATGGTTAGGAAGGTTGCTCAACCGATTAACCAACTGACCCAACAGATTATCAACCAAATGGAGTATCAAATGTTGGGAAGGTTCCAATCCAACATTAACCCGAAAGGATAAATCCCAATCAGAGATTAAAGGTAGGAAGGCTGCTAATCCAAATTCACAATGATTAAGATCCCAAAGGATTTCCAAACGAAGTTCTGCTACCAAGATCCACCAACTGATTATGAAGGTTCCCAACATGGTTATCCAACAATGGATTAAGGGATCCCAAACCGATTGCAACAATGTATTGGACAGGTTCCAACAATATTAACAACTGGTAGAAGCTCCACCAAGATGGAATCAAATGTTACGGCATTACCCACAAAATAATCAACGTATGGAAATCCTGCTCACCAAGATTAATCAATTAAGGAATTCCCAAAAAGATTACAGAAGGATTGCAATTCCCAATCCAAGATTACAATTACAACTGTCACCGATTCCAACCAAATGGATTACCAAAGGGTTATCAGGTATGAAGGTCTGCTCAATCAAGTTTCCAACCAACTGATTACAGCATTACCCCAAAACATGGAGTTATCAGAATGGTATGGGAAGGTCTGCTCAATCCCAAGATTACAACCAACTGATTACAGCATTACCCCAAACATGGAGTATCAGAATGGTATGGGAAGGTGTCTGCTCAATCCAAGATTCCAACAAACTGATTACAGCATTACCCCAAAACATGGAGTTATCAGAATGGTATGGGGAAGGTCTGCTCAATCCAAGATTACAACCAACTGATTACAGCATTACCCCAAACATGGAGTTCAGAATGGTATGGGAAGGTCTGCTCAATCCAAGATTCCAACCAACTGATTACAGCATTACCACAAACATGGAGTTATCAGAAGGGTATGGGAAGGTCTGCTCAATCCAAGATTCCAACCAACTGATTACAGCATTACTGTCACGCTCTGGCTCCGGGACTGTGTATTTTGAGCC